TTGTCATCAATTATCATCTTTTTTATATGATAAATTAAAGATAAAAATATATGGGGTCTGAATTATTTTGCTTTTTCCCATATTACTAGGAAAGAAGATAAGGTCTAAAGGTTGGAAAACATATCCACAAGTCACTGAATTATCATCCCTCTCTTCTCTCTCTATCATTGTCAAATATATGTATGAGATTGAGAATTGAAATTTGAGGTCAACATCTACCTTACTTTTGCTTCATAAAGCCATGACATTATTCCTATACTTTTATGTTCATGTATCATGAACCTTCCGTTGAGGAAGGATTGATTAAAAGATTAAAAAGGAGAAAAAAAAACGCTATTCTTTTGATGTTTAGAATTCTTTCTATGATATCTTCTTGTATCTACAAAGATTTTCTTATCCGAGTTTCAATGAAAAAGCGATGTAACGGTTAGACGAGGATAATAACAAAAATATTCTATTGGATGAAAGATGAAATCTTTTGTACTGTGTATATGTATTCTTTATGTGTTAATAATAAATGAAATATGAGATAAAGTATTTTGGTGTACGAAAAACGGATCTGAATTTGGTTTAAATTTTGAAACTACACACCATTAAAAAGATGTTGCTGTGACATGATGAAATGTTATTTGGTAATTTTTTTATTAGAAAATAATCAATAATTACTATTTGTAATTAAGTAATTGTTTTGTTCGCACATCTCTCATAAATGGAAAATCTTATGCCGTGGAAAGGGGATGAAGTAATTTATTGGTTATTTTCTTTTAAGATTGGTATAAGATACTCATAATCTACTGTGATTCAAAACTCATACTTCAATTTTTCCACTCAAAGTGAACAATGTTATGAAAACGATTGGTCCATTTTTTTTCCTTTTTCCTTTTTGAAATTGGTTGTGATTCGTCGAAATCACAATGTTTAGCATGTATACGGCAAAGGAATACAAATCCAACATTCAAAGTATACCGACAATATTTAGCACACGAGAAACTCAAGAGAAAATGAAATTGTAATTGGTAAGAAACGGAAGACTTCTATAATTTTAGAAAAAGATGGACAAAGAAAATAGTAATGAAAATTTTGAATAAAAACTTAAATTTTGAAGGAAGCTCTTCTGTCAGCTTTTCAGAAAAATTTAAAGAAATTAAGATAAATAAAAATCTTATTTTTGACGTAATTAAAAGTACTTAGGAGATCTTCTATTCAAACTCTTCGTATTTAAAAATTATTGATAAATACCTTTAAAAAGAAGTAAAAAAATTATAAATATTTTTATCAAGAAGCACATGAAAAGCAGTTTTGGGATGGTATAGATTCAAAGTGTGGTGGAGGAGATAAAGAAGAGAAGTAGAGTTTGGCACAAGTCACGATGTATGGAGCGATGGCTACTACAAACGGCCAAGGCCACTCCATCAATTTCTGTTTTCTAATCCTCCCTGTCCTTATCTTTGTTCTTATCCATCTTGTCGGGGAATTTCGGCCCACCAGGCCCATTTAAATGTAATGGGCACTCAGTAAGCCAGCCCACTGACAATTTCACTTGGGCTGTTGAATATGAACCAATTGGGCTCCGTGTTACATCAGGTTCAGTTCTTTTGGGATTACGTGAAGACTTTGATCGATTCCGTTGATGGTTTTCTTTCTTTCTCCTCCAACTAAGTCACGTCATCAGGTGGAGATTCTACGATTTATTTTAATCAACTCTTTAGAATTAATATTGTTGATGCTAGATGACATGTTTGCATGAGTATGATATGAATGTTTTGTCGTTCGGGATTAATATATGTGTGACAGAATCTAACATTAATGTGGTGTTTGATAAAATACACTAAAAAACTTAAGTTATAACTCAAGTTAGAAAGTAGAAGTAATGAACTAGAGGTTTATGTAAGAGATTGTGTGCATTTATTTGAGAAGGGTTTGACTCCATCTTGTATAAGAGGAGAACGTTGGAAAGCATGTTCAAATTGGCATAGAATAAGAGGATCTTTAGCTGGTCATAGGAATATATTAATAGTAGAATTGTCATTCTGCGGAATGTGAGCGGATATTTCGCGAGCAAATTCTGTCCAAGTAAGAGTCAAGCTAAGCTAAGCAGCTTAACTCAGCTCTTCCACCAATTACGATAGCATAATCGCACTTCCCTCATGTATGAGTGGATATTTCGTGACAAAACTCTACCCCAAGTAAGAGTTAAGCTGAAGTGAGTACTATTTGGCCAACACGGGCCTTTCCTCCTTAACTCGTTAAGGCAAGCTTCATCCAAGCCTTCGTATCCTATCAAAAGTGGTGCACATGTTAAAATATCTAATATTTTCACCTTATGATATAAAAATTAAATAAACTAATTTCATATAAATATAATTTTAAAAAATCTCAATATATACATATATAGTGACTACTTCAAATATTGTCATTTTTTTTATATGAGTTATACCGTAGTATTAGATCAAATATACCTTAGATTTCATTGATGGGTAAGTCTGAAATTTTAAAATATTTAGTAAAATATCTAGAGTTACATAATCATAAACCTTGAAAACAGAAGAAACGAGTTTTTTCCTTTCTAGAAAAAAAGAAAAAAACAAATCTTGAAACGGGACCGTTCGAGTGGCATGTAGTGAAACGAAACAGCATAATATATAAGTAGTGGAAAACAGACATGCTTGGCACCGGAATCGAGGATTCCCAATAAACAAAAATTCATAATTTCCTCTGAGGTCCGGTCCTGAATGCTGACACACTCCTTAGTAGTCCTTCCCCTGAGCCTCCGACAGTGCCATTTTTAAGCTAATTTTCCTCTGGTTTAACCCTTAACCATAATCTCGAGCTCTGTTAATTTTCTTTTATAGTGAAAGCGTGGCTTTTTAGACACCCAAAAGGAGCCGTTGCTGTACCAAACGAGAACGTTAAGAATCCCTCATTCTCAATTTCGCAGCAGAAACCGCAGCCGCGGGAGATTGAGAGAAAAGGGTGTAGCTTTCAGAAGACAAGGGAGGAGGAAAATGGGGGGAGGAGCTGAATTCAACCTCATTTTTGGGTTTTCACTGTTCCTTATACTTTTGGGTTCGTAGCTCTCTGTCTACCATTTCGTTTTGGGATCACATTCTACTTTACTTTCAGCAGTTTTTTCCGCTTTCCCTTGTTGGATCTTCCATTTCATAGGCCATTGTCGCCAATTTGTAACAACAGTCATTCTTTATCTGTTAATATGTTGAGGGTACTTTCTCCATTGGAGTTCTTCACTGTATAATCTCATTTTCCTTGTTTTTCTTTTAGTTCTTTCAATGTAGTAGAGCTTTTGTGACTGCTAGGATCAATAACAATCAGTTTGCTGACCCTTTAGAGTTTGGCATTTTTAAGAGTTCAGATTTGAACTTGTCTTAGTTGGTAAAGGTTATTTGCTTACTAGTAAGCTTCCCCCTTTTGATCTTGTCTTCAAAAGAACTATCTTCTCTAGCCAAATTGAACTAAGCTAATTTCTGTTCAACCTGTTTAGCAAGATATTTGTATGCTAAGACTGATTGAATAGAGAGTAAAAGATTAGGAGCTCATTTAAAGTGCAATGTGAGATAACTTGCACTTCGGCTTCCATATGAACAAAGTGAAGAAAGATTGAATTGAAACCTTTCGGCCGAGAGTGGGCTTTCGACCGTAGTTCAGTGTTTTGTGCGTGTTTTTCCATTGTAGGATTCACCATTGTCTTTTTTTTGGTTGCAGGCCATTGCCAGGGAAGTAATGTTGGAGTTTGCTATGGAAGAAACGCAGACGACCTCCCGACGCCTAATAAAGTGGCTCAGCTGGTCCAACTTCATAACATCAAATATCTTAGGCTTTATGATTCGAATATTCAGGTTCTCAAGGCCTTTGCCAACACTGGTGTTGAACTTATGATTGGGATTCCCAATTCGGATTTGTTGCCGTTTTCTCAGTTCCAATCTAATGTAGACACTTGGCTGAAGAATAGCATTCTTCCTTACTACCCCGCTGCAAAAATAACGTACATTACAGTCGGTGCCGAGGTTACTGAGAGCCCCAACAATGTGTCTGCCCTGGTGGTGCCTGCCATGAATAATGTACTCACTGGTCTCAAAAAGGCAGGTTTGCACAAGAAGATTAAAGTTTCTAGCACTCATTCTCTCGGAGTTTTGTCTCGGTCGTTTCCTCCCTCGGCTGGGGCTTTTAGTAGTAATTATGCATTTTTCTTGAAACCATTGTTGGAGTTTCTTGCTGAGAACCAGTCTCCCTTTATGATCAATATTTACCCTTATTATGCTTACAGAGAATCCCCTAGTAATGTGTCCTTGGACTATGCTCTTTTCGAGTCATCATCTGAAGTTATCGATCCAAACACCGGTCTGCTTTACACAAACATGTTTGATGCACAGATCGATGCTCTTTATTTTGCACTGATGGCCCTAAATTTTAGAACAATTAGAGTGATGGTCACGGAAACAGGTTGGCCATCCAAAGGGTCCCCAAAGGAGACAGCTGCAACTCCCGACAATGCTCAGACTTACAACACGAATCTTATCCACCATGTTATCAATAACACAGGCACCCCTGCAAGGCCAGGAGAGGAACTAGATGTGTATATCTTCTCTCTGTTCAATGAAAACAGGAAGCCGGGGTTGGACTCCGAAAGGAACTGGGGGTTATTCTATCCAGACCAGACCAGCGTCTACAACTTGGATTTTGCAGGAAGGGGTGCGGTGGACATGACTACACAGGCAAATGTTACCGGTTCTAATGGAACTGCCTGGTGCATTGCTTCGAGCAAGGCTTCCGATATGGACTTACAAAACGCGTTGGATTGGGCCTGTGGTCCGGGGAATGTCGATTGCACAGCCATTCAGCCGAGCCAGCCCTGTTTCGAGCCGGATACCCTCGTCTCTCATGCATCTTATGCATTTAACAGCTATTTCCAGCAGAATGGAGCTACTGATGTTGCTTGCGGATTTGGAGGGAATGGAGTTAAAGTTGACAAGGACCCAAGTAAGTTTTAGAGATAAACTCAGGTTTTTCTTGATGGTCTTTACGAGCAACCATATTTCCACAGCATGATTAATATATATCAGTGTTATATATCTGTTCTGCATCACTTTATATGCATAGTTTATGTTTTCGAAATCTTTGTTTTATGTTGTAACTATGAATTTAGCCACCTAATGCGTTTCTACTTCATTGTGATTAAATTTAGATTGTAGTATAACCCATGAATGCAAATCAATTCAATGTACAATCCCAAACACGATAATTGTTGTTTTATGGTCTCAACTAAGCTAATGTCTGGCTGGAGACGAAAATGTTGATACACTTAGCTGCTCGGTCCGGTTCAAACAAGCCTTCTTAAACTCGAATTTGTATTTGATTTTGCAGGCTATGATAACTGCTTGTACGAGACTACTGGGTAAGTTTCGGTTTCGGGTTTTATTTTTGAATTGAATTTCAGCGAACTTGATTGGAGTCCATAAATTTTGGTTTCAGTTTCTGACGTGTTCTTGGATTTTGCTGTTCTTTTGAATGGGTTATGCAGGAAGAACAAGACGATGCCTTCTAGCAATACAACAGCAATATCCTCAACATCTTCGTCGTCTTCTTCTACAGGAATTGAAGCTTCTGCGGGTCTACTAATGTTGGCTTTCATATCATATTTTTTGAAATTTTCTTGATGATGATGATGGGGGTTGAGCCAAATTTTCTGAAAAGAAAAATCCCAGATTTTGCTGCTACGAAGACATATTGGCTGGCTGGCTCTACCATTTTCCTTATTTTGTAATTGATTGGGAGGAATTGCAAATGATGTAACTAATTTGTACAACGCTCTGGAATCAGTCGGTGGTTGAGAATGGTATTAGAAAAATATTATTCATTTTTTAAAGCATAATTTGATTTTTTATTTTTATTTTTATATCTCCACGTCAATGTCATCAAATTGGTTAGCTCATTAATGCCGGAATAAAACATGTTTGAAAAGTAATTTATTATTATTAATTTTATTTTTAACTGGGAGTCTTATTTTATTTTTATAGACTTACGGAATTTTGTATAGAATATCTATATCAATACAAAAATTAGTAAATTTCTATCATTATTATGATATTCCACATAAATTATTTGTATTTTGTTAACCACATGAAACTTTTTCGTAGATTCCACTGTTAAAAAAAACGACATTTGAATGTAGGAGACATAAATTTTTTTTAGTATTAAACTCATTGAATGAAATACAAAGCAATTGGTAAACTTTATTTAGACTTATGAAATTTTGTATAGAATATCTATATCAAAACAAAACTTTGTAAATTTCTACCATTATTATTCCACAGAAGAAATTATTTGTATTTTTTTAACAACATTGAACTTTTTCATAAATTTCACCGTTAAAAAAAAAAAAGACATTTGAACTTGGGAGACAAAAACTTTTTGGTATTAAAAATAGTCTTTCTAATTAAGTTGCCAGTTTGAAAAGTGGATTTGATCTAATTAAAGTGCATGAGAACTTGATCTAAAAAATCATCCCAAAATCATTCTTAGCGTACCTAAGTGTGATCAGTGATCTTGCATTGTTGCTATCAGATTTCTTCTAATTTTGACTAAAATTTGTTTAAACAAATTTCTCAAATTTTAATCCAAAAACCCATGTCACCAACAGGGTTTCTATTTTCTCTACTGAAGTCGATAAACATATACTATTTATTCAGGGCTGCACAGAGAAAATTAGAGAGTCTAAACATAAAACAATATTTAAAACCCCTTAATCTCTAGTATTTCTAATCAGAAGAATTGGCCAAACTCGAGCACCTGCTGATTACTATTCATGAAATAAATGTAACATTCGTAAACACAAGGGCACCATTCATGAAATTAAACGAATATTCGCTTGCGATAAATCTTTCCGAACCGAACCGAACCGAACCTATCCCCCTCTCTTCATGTTGTTAGCAGGCACAATCTGAAAACTTCCAGTGTTGGAAATTTCTTTCTTACACAGAAGCAGGTTTAGTCATTAAGCCGATAAGCCCTCCCTCTGAAAGCTCCACTCGTACCCCTATCATCGGTAGGCTGCGCACGTTGAACTGGTGGAGCTCCAATCCTCCACCTTGAGACTAACCTATGACTGTAGAAATTGTTAAAGAAATGCTAGAAAAAACAAGACATAAACAATGCAAAAAACTACACAGATGGGTGAACATTGAACAATGGAAAAGTAAAGATAATCTGATGAATAACTGATTATATGCCACTGTGTAATTGACTTCTTTCTTTAGTTGGTGGGGAAGGAGACCGACATTCATCATACATTTTTTTTTTAAAAAACAGAGAAATAGACAAGAATAAGGCAGAATAAAGGTGCATAGAATCCATCTAATGATAATCTCAAATTGAGAAACCAAGGAAAATCTGTCATTAAAAAACCAAAAGAAGAAGGATACACCCAAAATGGAGTTCTTAATATGTTCTTTCCGCCAGCTAGTGGATGTAACACGGTCAAGAAGTAATACAGATGCCCTGCGAGGATTCCAAGTAGATCAGGTACAAGAGGTGAACCAAAAATGACATCAAGCGCTAGCATGGCCCATGGCAGATAAAATGCCTGCACAAGAAGCATTACATTGGTGTTGCAGATACCAGAAACTGAGAGACATTATCCTAGGGTGAAAAAGGTTCAATTTGGGCAAAACCTAAATCAATGCCGTTGGCCATACCTTAAGAGTCACGAGGCCATATAAGTTGATCTGTGCATTTGGAAATTCTCTACTCCAGACATAGAGAAGCATAAACACAAGTGATATCCCTAAGAATGGCGACCAGAAGATTGGGATAGCGGAAAGTACCTATTCAAGAGGAAGCATCCAAAAAAATATATAATTTCACATGTCGGCAAAAATATTCTACCTAAAATAAAGATTCAACAAGTCTCTTAGATGGGAGTATTTCAAAATTCCCAGAGGCACAGAGATACGAAAGAGTCAAAGCTGTCAGAAAATCTTCATCTACTAGTTGCTCAATGAAATATATTAAACATTATAAAAAATAATGACACGAAATACAGAACTTTTCAGGTGGCAACATTGTACTAACTAATGATTTTTTACTCAAACTGATGATATGCTTCATGAAACTGCAAATGAACGAGTACCAGCAAAATAATTGGAGCAAGGAAAAAAAAACATTTTAAAGTCCAGTTGCCTTTTCACACGATCTTTTCCGCAAACATTATTGTCGCGATTGAAACCACTGCAAAATCTACTATTTTTACAAATAGATAAAACTGAGAAGAACCACTGCAACTAAATGAATGATTTAATAAAGATCCTCACACACACCAATAATGTCAAGGCTCCAAATATCATCATCCACAGAAAATCTGCTGTTCGCCTTTGAAATGGTCCATTCTCAAGTTGAACCCCATATCTTGCTCTGTAAAGGCACAACCATGAAACTATTAGTGCATCATAGACCTTCTTGAGAGTTTGAACACAAAGCCTCCACTTTTCATGAAATAGTACTGCCAGTAGTTCATGCAAAAATTTGATCACACATGAAAACTTACATCATTAGCAAACGAATTCCAAAATTGATAGAAAATTTTCCAAGGAATAAGAAGTTTGTGAATAGCCTCCATACCTGAAAATAAAGGTGAACTTGTATAAATAAATTGTAATTGGAAAGAAAACGTTGGAATTCATATTAAAGAATTAGTGCACAGGGATAGGCATCAATCTCCAGGGATCATCATTTAAGAGTATTCAGTGCAAAGAATGTTCTAATTCATGACAACTTGACAGCAGTCACAGCACAGTCATTTTCACTGAATGATCAGATACTATTATACCTAAATTTCATAAATATAAGGAATTCAAACCACCAAAAGAAAAGAAATAAAGGGCCAAACTTACACCGTTCTCTCAATTTGTACAGAACCACTTTTCTTGCTTAATTAAGAAAAAAGATATGACAATTTCCTAGATAAAAAATGATAATTTCTTTTGGCAACTATGGATGAAAAACAATAATTGCTAATTCTTTTCTCCTTAGAATTTAAAATCCACAGCATAGGTTATAACTGGTTTCTGCACAGATTTTCCTAACTTGGGTTCCATGTAAAAATCCTTGTCCTTGTGTCTCTCCCCTTTCACTATTTTTACTTGCCTTGTTCTTGTGTTCTCCCCTTCACTATTTTTACTTGACTTGCCCTTGTGTTTCTCCCCTTTATTGTGTTGACTACATCTCCACACTCGGGCTACTTACACATTAAATTGGGTGCAACGATATCTCAATTTAAATAAAAAGTTCAAGGATGATGAAAACAGTAACTAGGATGAAGAGGAGCTCTTGAAGACACCATAACATTGAACTGGTAAACTAAGTTATGGTGGTCAAATTTCATTATCAGAATCTACTTAAAATAGTTCTAAATCTAATTCCAACCCTCTTGTTCGGAAATGGGCTTTCTAAAATTAAAATTTTTTGTAAGCTCCTTACTTTAGAAGTGTACAGAACAAGTATGGAAGGAAATATAAGCATTGGGGAGAGGAGATTTTACACAGTCTCAATTAATCTGATGGGATGATTGCCTTACCCTACAAAATTTTGACATAAAATTTTTTGTGTAAAATATCCTAAAAATCATGACCTTTTAGGAAAGCAAGGCAAGTTTCATAGATATGGAGAAAATTACAAAACTATCCAATACCAAAAGTTCCTAACAGAACAAGAACCCCTATTGGAGCTTACAAAAAAAAACCCACACCAATTACAATTAGATTAGTATTAGTTATATGATGAGCATAGACTACGTAGTTGCTAAAGTGATCCAAGGCTCGAAACATGTCCTCAAAAGTTACTGAAAGATGTTTACCATATTCCTTTCAACAATTTGACTAATAATATATTCCTGATCTGTCTAAATTCCTTGAGCTAAAATGAGATAAAATAAAAAAAGATTTTACACAATTTAGCTGAAAAAAATACTTTTTACCAAACTAAAAATAAACTGTAGACCCTACGAAAAGGAAAAGGAAACTTGTGTGCCATTTCGAAAATTTTAAACTAGGAGATTTTGATTATTTTCCAAAAAGTCAACCAAACAGGAAATTCTTAATTTCAGAGATTTCCATACCACTCATAGGTATTAAATTTTATACCCCTTGGAAAGAAAAAGAATGATTGGGAACAATGTGGAACAAACAGAATAAAAGCCCAAATTAAAGTAAGAGTTATCAGATGTTAAACAAAAATTATACAGACAAAAAGAAGCACTATCCTGACAATTAAAGTCAATACCTGAAAATGCTTGAATACGAGTCCGTGGATCAACGCAATATGGACGGGACCGTATAAGCCAAGTTGAAAGGCTGTAGTAGCCAGAAGGCACAGGGTTCCATATCCCTTACTTATAGGTGGAAGAGAGTTGTAATATCTGAATCGTGATTAAAAAACAAAAAATGGTCAGGATATAGATTAAAATCAGAGTAAAGAATAAAAGCAGACATTGAGCGTGAAAAAAAAAAGCAAGACGAGGCATAATTTCAAAACGGAACAGACCAATATAAAGCTAACAAAATTGAAGCATCGAAGAACAGAAAAACAAAATACAAAATTCGTAGATTGAAATTTAAACAGGAAAATGAATGGAGAAGCAGTAATACTCGGCAGGAGAAGACATTGTAGACGCAGAAATCAAAAAATCGAAGTAACTCCGGATATGGAGATCTCTCACTTAAGAAATTTCACCGCTTGGAGACGAACAAAACTTAGCAAACAAGAAATCAGAGGTAGGATAGGGGCGTTGGGGAAGAAAAAAATTAATCCAAATAAACCCAGAATGTTCCTCTTCCCAAGTTCCTTCCCTCTGGCACGTGCGGATTACTGGGCTGGGTAAAATGCACCGAGTTGGGTCCATATTAAGATATGGACTAGGCCCAAACAATCCTCCCTTTCTGATCCAAACTTTTTTTTTTTTTAATTTACGGGAAAAGGTTTTATTTTTTTCTCTCTCTTAATACGAAAACAACGAGTGACACGAAAAATTTACTTCTATCTTAACAAATAAGCTATACATAGGTTTGTCTTTAGGTAAAATAGTTTCTATCTAGGATTATAATATGATATTATTAAATATAGTTAGAAGTATAGAGACTCCATCCAACATTTTACAAATACTAAAATTAATTAAAATTGAAAGGAAAAGAACCAAAATAAACTAAAACTAAAATTAGAGACCAAAATAGTAAAATAACAGCAATTATCAAAACAACTACAATCATATAATTGACAGCCATCTAGTAAGTTTAATATCATAAATCAATAATGTTTTCCTTGAAGTGTCCTTAAATATAGGCGGCAAAACTGGGACTCCAATTAAAAAATTATATATATATATTAGCAGCCACATGCAAACGTACCCCGATCCCAATCATATCGTATTACTGCCAGGCCTATGGGTGGTGGGGCCAGGGAGGTGCCACGTGGGCACGTTATCGTGAATAGAAGTACGTGTGTCGTTGGTAAGTGAAGTGGGCCTATGGGTTGATTTTGGATCTGGACGTGGTTTCTGCATGTGGGCTGTCGCTCTCTGGGCCGCACCTAATCTGGTCCAATCTCTTTCGTCTTAATTTATTTTATTTCTCATTATCTAACTTCCCATAATAAAACTGTATATAAGTAATTGTCATACCTTAATTATTAAATTACTTTTTTTTTAAACAACATGTTAGGTGTGGAATCGAACTCACAACCTCTTAGTTGGAGACATATATCAATTACCGCTGAACTATACTCGCTTTGACAATTATTCAATTACCTTTGATATATATTATACTCATGTAATTATGTATCATTCGATTCGAACATAGTTTAATAGATAAAACATCTATTACTTATCTAAAAGTCGATAGTTTGATCACTATATTACATATGGATTAATTTACGGCTACGTGATTAATGATGTACTTATTAATCTTTTTTTTTTCTTTTACAACCGAATATTTAGAGGATGATTTTGAACCCACCATCTTTAAAGTTTGAAATATATATGTTTCAACGAGACTTATTTATCTAAGACCTGAAATCATGAGAGATTTTTAAGGTAATTTCACTATTTTAACTTATCTCCTGATATATTTATTATTGTGAAATTAAAGAAAAAACTTATTATCCCCTACTTATCAAGCATTTGCTCTGAAATTTTTGTCATGCTTGGGTTTTTTTGTCCCTACCAGCTTTTTTTTTAATTTCGAATTTAAAGAAAAAGACAAAATTGTTTATTTTCATATTATTTTAGATATGTTACATTACATAATATATCTAAGAATCTAAGATTGCAGTTGAAATCCCATTTCTGCCCCCTGCAGAGAGGAATATTACTAGGTGGTTCTAGGCTATTAGTACATTCTACGGGGGCACATATGTCAGAAATGTCACATTGGACAGTTCTAGAACTGGGAAGATTTATTTTTAATAACAGCAAATTGATGCAGTATTATCTATTTCTAATGATGTGTATTTTTTGAGATAAACGTAAAAGATTTTCTGGTAGTTTGATCCGACTTTTAAAACATCTAATAATTGAAAAACTTAAATGAATTTCTAATCAAGTTTGGGAAAAAAGTATAGACAAGCTTTCTCGTGTTTCTGATAATTTAACCTCTATATGCGACTTGATTTTGTTTTTTTCTAGGACAAGGATGAGATTTCTTCCCCTAACAATTATTTTATATACTTAAATATCATTGTTTGAATTTAAAGTAATTGATCGAAATGTCACCCAATTTTATATTTTATATAATACTGATGGATTGGATAAATTTAATTTATTTACTAACCAAATAAGAACTGACATAAAATTTGGTTCGGCCGCAGCGTTCAAGATCAATCTACTTCGCGAACAAGAACAATTTAAAATGTGATCAACTACATCATTCCCATTATTGGAAAATATCCGATCTGTTCTACGCCAACCACCACAAATCAAAATCGCCGGATCGGAGAATCAATTAACTCCATTAATAAATTAGAGTCAAATTAGCCAAAACACCATTAATCACTGTTAAAAATCAAAATCAACGACAAACCCATCCCTCTCATGGCGGCGACGAACTGAGCTCAGTCTCCGGCGTTTCCGCCAGCGTCCCACAAATCAGAGGCTTCACAACAGAAGGAATTCTGAAGCAATTCAAGCTCCCCCCAG